CAGATCTCAAAAGAATGCTCGTTGGGAAAAAATTTTCGTCGAATGAAGAGGTGATCGCCGAAACTGAGGCCTATTTTGAAGCAAAGGACAAATCGTACTACAAAAATGGTATCGAAAAGTTGGAGGATCGCTATAATCAGTGTATCACCCTTGAAGGGAATTATGTTGAATAAAAAAAACGAATTTTGCAAAAAAAATGTGTTCTACTATTTTAGGCCGGGAACTTTTCAATTGACCTGTTATATGTATAAGTACCTATATTATTAATATTTTTTATTGTATTTGTCCACTCTTAACCCTTCAACTCTCATTATTTACCTGCGAGTATTATTGCTGTGTAATGAAACTCGTTAAAATAATTAATTGTTTTAATTGAAGTGGGCGTATCAGCAAGTTCCATAAAATCGCCCGTTATTTTCTACTTACTAGGAAATATAGGTCAAGCGACAGACAGAGCTATGTACTTATTACGTACAATACATACTACTACTGTTCTTTGTGAGTAATAAAGATGCGACCTTTTTCCTTCATCTTCTTATTTTGCGGCCATATTAAAATATTCGAAACTTGCTTCCAAGCCTTTCGAAATGAGGTCATTCCAGGAAAACAAGTGCCGATCACGAGGACATGCGGACTGAATAAAAACCACCCCATTATTGTAAATTAGAACATGTTTCTATCGGCAATACGTTGGGAAAACATTTGGTTTTACTTAAAGCTCCATTACGGCACGCTGAATAAATATAAAAAGCTGTACAATGTAATTACGCGATGATGACACAACTATGTGTATCCACGTTTACTACATTTAACGAAACAAAGGCGTGAGTATGTTAATAGGATCAAAAATATTACGTACATAACCTAGTTGCTAATGTTCGCAAATATCCATTATCTGCTACCTACCTTTGGAATTAATTACTGTAGTGTAAGTAATTATTATTGGGTTTCAACCCAATTTAGAGGAAACCAATAATAGACTGGCCATCAATAGTCACATAAAGATTATTTAGAAAATAAGAATCTTTGGTAAATGGCGATTGTTGCTGGGACAGGGAGAAAAAGGGTGGGGGATGGAGGTGACCTTGTACACCAAAACATTTAAATAGTTTTAATTGGGGGGCAAGCACGCAAAGACACTTAGCACCTGTAAATTATAAATGGTAATTGTGGACGCGAATGGAGATAGAGATGACATTGAAGATCAGAACAGAGGGGTAAAGGCACGGGGGGGGGGGAATTGAAGAATCAAATCAAGATAAAAACTTTAGAAAATTATTTTAGAAGAAAAGGTTGGACCTGACGACCATGAGAACATTCACCTCGAAACAAAATTATTGGGTGTTTGGTTCCCCCCAACTACTAATTACTGACGGGCGGTTAGTCCTCTAGTCTCCTTTTAGGAGTAGTGGAATGGATGGATGGTTGGGGTGAGATAGGTGAGACGGACGAAATGAAGACAGAATAGAATGAAAGATTACTGTCCCAGCATTTGCTTAAATGATTCAAGGAAACCATAGAAAAAATTGGTTCAGAACAGACCGATGTCCTCCCAAAAGCTAAGTAATAGTCTAAACCTCTAGGCCATACCGCTCGGTCATTCACTTTGTTCGTAACGCCTTTTTATAACCGCAACCGAATGATCCTAAGCAATCAACTAAAACCATTTGTCAGTTAGTTTTCAGTTACGTTGGATGAAGGATTTTAATTTACACATTTGTGGTTTGATACAACTTCTTCATTTTAGCAATTCTGACTTCCGTTCATTGAAACAAGGTGTTCTATCTAAAAATGTTTCCGCGGTTTCACCTTCTTAGAGGTGGAATGTAAAATCTTCTAAACCTAAAAGTCATTAGGTCGGTACTGGATTCAAAATCGCACTGATGTTCGAGAAAAGGTCATATCGGAATTGCATTGGTAAATTCAAAATTGGATCCGTAAAATAAATCTTGTGGGTCATGCCTGCATATAATAGATCTTCGCATCTATCATTCCTCTGGTCATTTGATCTATCATATATCCCTTATAAATGCAAGTTAGCGGATTGAGTCTGCCTATCTGTCTATGTCGCTAATATCACTAGATGAATTTTAATCTTTTTTTATTGGTCTTTGATATAGTTTACCTTTACACGGTTGTATGCTGCGCTTTAACATCTTATCATAATCAAACACCATTTCCAATTTGATGAAAGATATGATAAGATTTGTCACAATAATCTTTTGCCTTTAAGAAAAAGTTAAGGTATACTTAACAAATTTTGACAGGTTTTTAATGTTATAAAGGACAACTCCAGAAAAAGCTTGAGAGATACTATGGTCGAACTCACAACAGTTTCACAAATGAACCGAATCCTTACTTTGAAACAGTTTGATGGACTGATGAGTGGCGAGCATCTTCAGAGGTCGTTCCATCTTCGATGTTGGATGTGGACTGTCCTGAACGTCTGAAGAAGCTCGCTACACATGTTAGCGAAATGATAGGAAGCAATTGCAACCAATGACAGCCTTTAGACTTGAATCAGGACAGCATCAGTTCGCCTCCAGGCCATGAAAACCTTTATCAATTTATGAGTTACATGAGTTACGCTGTAGGCAATGACTGTGGGTATACATATAATATAGGCCAGAGCCGAGCAAACTTTAACTTCGTAGGAGCCGCTACCTGAGGTTAATTTGAGTAACTCCATG